GAGAAAAATCACAGAGAACAGGGAAGAAGAATTCAATTCAATGTTTTTTGAACATTAGTGAAGATGTGTGTATATGTTATGAATCTGGGTAAGAACATCATCATCCAAACTTCCCCTCTCTTGGAATTCACACCTCCAGATCAGCTACTAGAAGTGGGCCTCATCCTCCCTGATTGGATCCACCTGGTCATCTCTAGCCTGATTATGGCCTGCATATTTATACCTGCCTCTGGAAATTTCCACTACATGCATCTCACAAAGTGGGTGTTTGCCCACAAAAGCTTATTCTCCACACTTTGGTTAGTCTATAAGGCGCCACAGGACTCCTCACCGCTTTATCATCCAAACTGTGTTTAAGACATGAATTTTAACAAGCATAAACAAGTTATTTTTATGTAGCTTCCCAGTCCATGAGCCGCATCTATTGAACACAGCCTCCATGCTCCGAGCCCAGATCTACACTAGGACTTTATTTTGAATTTATCAGTGGCATGGCCACACTACCAAGCCCATTATTTTGAAGTGACAGGCTGCAGAATTCAAAATGCATACTCCTGCTTTTCATCAGGAGTAACACTAATTCCAAAATAGCTATTTCGAATAACCGTTGTGTGGGGACACTGATGCCACTATTTTAAAATCATTGATCTCCAGAGGCCTCTCAAAGCTGCAGCTCTGACCACTCTGGCCACACCAGGCATCTCCACTGCCCTCTTCCTGCAGAGCTCTAGAAGTCCCAGGAGAAGGAGAAGCACTTGTCTCATGTGGCCAGCTTCACAAGCCCAGTCCAAGGAGACATGAGCGACCCCAACATCCCCTTGGACACCCTGACAGCTGCCAGTGTAACCCACACATCTAGTGGGTGTGGATCACTGTCCCATGCAGTGGGACTTAGACCACTTACAGCCAGAGATAAGAACAAGGGGTCTCTACAGCCAAAGCTGAGAGCCATCTGGCTTTATAGCTCCAGCTGTGGAGGCTCCTATGCTAAATTCCAGAGGTCCCAGGTTCAAATATGCCCTGTGGCAGTTACACCAGTGCTTCTGCTGCTCCCATGGCCTCCACTGCCCATGGATGCAGAAGAGCTTCAGCCTGGACTGGTGCAGAGATCCTGGACCTCATTGTGAGGAGGGTACCAACTCCAGGATCTCTGCGCCAAGAAAAGGAACACTGACATATGGCAGGATCCCTGCCAGCCTGGCTGAGAGAGCACACACCAGGACCCTTGGTCAGTATTGTGTGAAAATAAAAGATGAAACAGGCCTACCACAAGGCCATGGAGCAGAGTGGATGCTCTGAGGCAGCACCGCACACCTGCTGCTGCTATGAGTGGCTTCATGCCATCTGGGGAGGGGGTCCAGTTACCTCCCCACTATAAAAATGAAGAAAACCCTGAATCTGGGCTGTCCCTGTCTCAGAAGTGGCCTCCTGGCCAATACCGTATCTATCATCAGCAAGACTCTTACCCAATCCCTCAAATGGAAAACAGATACTAAAATAAGTTAACATGTATTGAGGGATAATTAACATTAATTAGGGAAAATGGGGGGAAATGATTAATCAATAACAAACAGCCAGGATCCACAAAGTATAACACCTTAAAACATAGTACAGGAACTATTAATCAGGCATGAAGCCCAGACCCAAAATATCCCAGGTTGTAAAAAGAATAAAAAGGATGATAGTACAGACCGAAAGCGAAGTACAGTGTGAAGCCTGGGACCTCAACCATTGAACTATTTGAAAGCTCGACAGGAGGAACACCTGGGAGATCCAGTAGAGAGAGAGAGAGAGAGAGAGAGAGAGAGAGGTGACAACTGTGGATCCTGTGATGGTAAGTATCTGCTCCTTCCTTCACTATAGCACTGATAGAATTCCTCAGTGCTAGGGGCCTGGGCCACCTGAGGAATTTCACTGTCTTCACTTGGTCTTAGATGGAATGAGGGGGAGAGACATGGACCTTGACTGACAGGTGCAGGGCCTTTTATTAACTCAGTGGTGCGAAAGTTCATATGATTGACAGTCCTGTGGCGTGCAACTCCTGAGGTAAAAGAATGTTCAGGAGCTTGTGGTGAGAAAATCCAGTTGTAGCCAGATTGACCCAGCTCTGCCCTTGCTGATGTGTTCAGGCCTTTAAAAGATGAAGTTTCTCTCTCAAAATGGAGTCTTACAATAACCATCACATAACATTACATTACATTACATAACTTCACAACTTACAAAAATCACTCAACAGTCATCTTAGAGTCCAGCCAAGAGACGCCCAGCATCAGCCTCCATGAGGGTGATGTGGCAGAGGAGGACAATGACAACGAGGAGGAAGAGGAGGAGGCAGCAGCCAGCCAGGTTACCATGCCCACCCACCAGGAGCCGCTGCTCACCTTGGAGCCAGTTTCCCCCTCCTAGGATGTCTCCAGGCTTCCAAGGAACCCAAAGAGGAGCTGTCGGTCAGGAGATGGGCTGCAAGGGGCTGCTCACTCCTCTTAGCCTACTCAGCCTGGGGGGTCACAACAGCTTATTCACGAGTCTGCACATGAAGCACAAGTCCAGAGAACTCATCTCCAGGATGCTCTCACACAGGTCCTTTTCTTTCTTCTTGGTCCTTTTCACAACATAAGAACTAGGGGTTACCAAATGAAATAAGCAGCAAGTTTAAAACAAACTAAAGGAAGTTTTTCTTCACACAGCACAGTGTCAACCTGTGCAACTCCTTTCCAGATGTTGTGAAGACCAGGATTTTAACAGGGTTCAAAAGAGAACTAGATAAATTAATGAAGGTTAAGTCTATCAATGGCTATTATCCAGGATAGGTAGGAATGGTATCCCTAGCCTCTGTTTGTCAGAGGCTGGAAATAGATGATAGGAGAGGAATCAATCACATCATGATTCCTTGGTCTGTTCACTCCCGCTCTGGAGCATCTGGCTTTGGCCACTGTTGTAAGACAGGATACTGGGCTAGATGGACCTTTGTTCTGACCCAGTATGGCTGTTCTTATATTCTCACAGGGTTCTTGAAGAGGCCTGCCTTACTGCAGCCTCCATAGTAGGACACCTTACCATGACAAGCTACCACTAAGGAGGCTGGGGTCATGGAACCACACAGCAATGCCACACACGGCCCAGGTTCATGCCTGCACTCAGTCAGCATCTGCTCCCGATCAAGCTTAGTGATGCAGAGGACACTGATCTCATTCATGGGAATCTGCCATGAGAAGGAAGAGGAGAGAACCCATTCGCACTCTCTCCAGCAAGCAGTGTCTGCTTCTCACACACACACACACACACACACACACACACACACACACACCCCTCCTCCAACACACTCCCTCCAGCAGGCAGGCATAGAAGTTCTCTCTCTGCAGGATGCTGCCAATGCCAGACCCAGCATGTGCAGGACACGGAAGGAAGCCGAACCGCATCTTTCCCTCATCCCACCCACAGACTCCTGTCCTGGCCAACACCTTCCCATGCCTGCTTGTTCCTGGGCCGTGGATGTTGCAATGCTGCCCTGGAATGTGTGTGCCCCTGCCAGAAAGTACCCGCTGTCTAGGCAACATATGGCCTTGCTCAAAGCATATTACCACGTCTGAACTGAAACCTTCACTGTCAGCTCAGAGATTAGAGCTCAGCTTCATACATGGTGTCTCCTGGGATGATTGCCCTTGGAACCTTTCTTCACAGCTGCGAGCTTGGCACATCCCCCACCTTCCACTCCATCTGACAGTGAAACGCACCCAGGAGGAGCACGTGAGGGAGTAGATGGCCTGCCTGCAGTCCCTCATCCAGGAACTTGAGGAAGAGCACGACACCAACTGGGAGGAGTGCCAGGTTGACCCGGAAGAGAAAGGCAGCTTTGGATGAGCTGGTACACCATCATAATGCCAAGTTCTCTACCCTGAATGATGTCTGTCTGACTGACTGTTCATTTGGGTTTAGGAAGAAATGTTTCCCATTAGGGTCAAATTGACAGAGACCTTCTTTTGTCATCTTTCTGGCAGAATCTATGAGGTATAGTTTCATTATGAGGACTAGGACTTAGAAAATGCCATTTGTAACTGGTGGGATTGTTTAGCTTGTCATAGCTTAAGGCAAGTGTCCAGTGTGGCTAAAGACTGTGCTCAGAAGTAAAGAGAGACCTGATATTTCACTAGTGGATCTTCTGCTTATTGGAGAAAAAGTCCTGACATCTTTGCAGACCTCTAGTATTCAGAAGAGTGAGATGAATCCTAGGGGTAGGCCAGGGAAAACATTCTCATGGGGTTATACAACCGAAGTCCTATACCTCACTGTAATGACACACTTAAATGCCTACTGTGAGCGAGTTGGGGGAGGTAGGACAAAAGCACCTCCTCCACAGAATTAAGCTAACTAAATTTCAGGCTGCCATTTAAATTCATTCCTGTGTCTATCTTCCTTCAGCCGCATATCTTGATTAAGACTCATGTGGTGGTTTACAAGCTTTCTTTCAGAAGTTCACAGGATTTTGTGATATGCTGGATCAT